GTTTTAGATGTTCTGTCACAAAAGTTGTCTGAAGAACAAGAGTATGTCTCACTGCTGCTTGGAGTTAAGGAGAAAAGTGTAAATCAAGCAAGTAACATGTTCAATAGAAAGTTTTGCAGAGACAAGATGACTGACATCATGGTTGCCACCATGTTAGCAGAAATTCCCGTGGAAGTCCAAGAATTGAACATTCATACGATAAATACGAAGACTTTCAGATTGCAGTGATAAAAGCAATACCTGAAGATTATTGTGCAACATAGGGCTACACAGTTAAACACTACAGGACAAATATGTAGTAAATGAATTTATGCCTTCTTCATACATGAAAATTATGGTAGTTGCCTGAAATACCTTGTATAGCACACAGAAATAATGAAAACAACGGGATATTTGTAAGGAAGCTGGATTTTTTTAAGATTCTGGTGATATTTTCCATTCTTCAAAACAGAAAAGGGCTAATATAAGGGGGCATTTTTACATACATTTTCAAAAGTGAGTTAGCTTACACCCCTAAAATATGTTATTTTGGGTTTAAAAAGTCAACAGCAGTTATTACATTCAGGTTTTGTAATTTAAACAAATTAATCTAGGGTATTGAAGCTGCTGTTAAGTTGTTATTTAATTTTGGCGGCCATTTTAAAAAGCGCCCTCAATTGCCTCCGGAATCTTCACAATAATAACTTTAGCTAGTTATACTTTACTCCTATTATTATTACATATTCAAAAGTTGGTCAAACCTATCTCTTCTGTGCTTATTTTACCCATATATATGTAGTTTATTGGATTTTAGCGGCCATTTTGAAAAAGCGCCCTCATGCGAAAGTTTCTCAGGTTACGCCCCTTTTAGGTTACACCCCTTTTACCTCACATATTCTGATTCCCCATAAAAAACTGGTCTAGAAAAACCATATGAGAATTTCTACCTCTCCAAGTGGCACCTATCTCAGTTATAGCCTGGTCTACAGGATTTGGTGGTAGGGGTGCGTGACGGTCCCATTACCTCAGCCCCATCATGGTCTGTGCTAGGTGGGGACTTTTGATAATATGCACTTCTAGGTGCCCGAAACGTGCACTCTCATACTTTAAAAATCCTACCAGTGTTTATAATAATAAAATAATATATCAACAATACAATACAATTATTTTTCTTAATACAATTTAAGGGGTCCATCCCAGCATAAAAAATAAAAGTTAAAAACACTGTCTTTGATGGGCTGATGTTTGAAAAGTAAATATAATTAGTTATTAATTAAACAATAATACTGTCCAATACAAAACCACTGAAGCAATGTTTAAAAATTAATATTTAGCTAATAGATATTGTTTGGTTTTAATTGAACTTTTTTTTTGATGAAATTGATTTTAAGTCTACTGGTAAATTATTCCAAAGTTTTGGGCTTTGATAAGTGTTCACTGAGTTGAGTGATTTGCTGTAAAACTTTTTACTGCAATCAGCGAAAATGTAGTCATGTTTTGAAACAATTGAACTAACTGGATTGAAATATTTGAAGGAGATAATTAAGGAATATGGGACATATCCTGATGAAGTGAAGATCACTGGATTTTCAGCACACCATCAACATCTGGTTGCTCTTGCAAAAGACTTTTCAATTAAAGATTTCCATACAGTTTGTCAGATGTATGCCCTTTCGAAAATATCATAAATATACAGTTTCTTCTATGTTAATTTTATATATCAATAGGCACTTTGAGCAACAAGACAGGTGGACGGTGGTTCTGTGCTCATCAGAGCGTGATGACTACAGTAAACACTTGGGCGCTTAACCCGAATTGCCGTTGTCGACGGCTCCCCATACTATTGCGTATGATTAGCTGTGTACCTGTCTTTTGGACAGGATTTAAAAACCTTCATGGTTGGTATGATGTGTGTTTTGTGATAGAGATTACCATCTCATCAAACATAAAATAAACTGACTTACTGTAATTAGACGTACATCAAATAATTTAAAAAATAAAACATTTCTTAGTAACTTTATCACAGGCCATGTAAGTCTGTGTGTAATACAGTACTAAAGGGTATATGCTGCAGGATATAGTTTAAATGTTTTTATTTTGAGGGTTAACATTGTTAATTTTGTTTATAGATAATCTTTTTATGTTAAGATTGATTGATGTTTCCAATAATTATGACTCAAAATACTGTATAAAGTATTCCAAAGACGTACAAAGTGTACATTAAGGCAATATGTTTATTTTAATTATCTATTAATTAACAGATGTAACTGCAAAAGTTGTGGGCTCTTCTGGTGGAGATCTTGAATTTGAGGAGATCAAATTACACATACCGACTGGTGCAATTGCAGAGGGTGAACATGTTGACATATTACTTGGACAGCTTAATCCAACAGATGAATGTGAAGTGCCTTTTGCTAGTAACCTGGAGTCAAGAATATCGCCTATAGTGTCATGCGGACCATCGGGCACCACCTTTAACAAACATTGTAAACTTTCATTTCCACATAATGCAATCAACAAGGAGTCTTGGGAATTCACTGTATACGTAAATGAAAACGTCTGTGACGATTGGAAGAGAATAGAATGTGATGACCAAAATACCAAGGTTTCTATACTAGATGGACAATGTTGTGTAGAAACAAACCATTTTTCTAGGTTCTTTTTAACAGGAAAGATTCAAATATTATTTCACTGTAAAAAGGAATTGCAATTAGGACTGTATGGAAGGATGTTTAATGACGGGTGCTACATACTTAAACTGAGAGTCTGGAGTAAACATGATTATAAGGTAATGACAGTTGTTAAATTATTGTATTCAACCAGATTTATTCATACAATATGCAAGTATCTACAAACTATTGTGTATCCATTACTCATGTAAACATTGTTTGTGAGTAAATGCCACTGTACACCTTGGGGCTGAATGGGACCACAACATTGGATTATGTACTTAGTACTTAGCTCATTGCATATGGTGTGTACTATTATATAATTTATTTGTTTGCATATTATAATGATATTTCAAACTACATCACATACTAATAATTTTTTATCAATATCTTAGTCAGTAGAAGATGAAGTAAATACTAATAAAGAAAACCTTCTAGAAATGTTCCCACCAATTTTTGTAAAGTATAAAGACATGGAAATAATCATGGATGAATTTCACAATGAAGGGCAATTAGAAAGCTCTGCAGCAGTGGTATGTATTTTTGGTTTATAATTTTCAAAGTCATGAACAACACACTTTAGTGAGAAAACTAATGTAAAAAAAAACAGGTTTGCGAGATAGGCATGCCCAAAGCAATTTTATTGCTTTTTCCGGATATTTTGGGTATGCTTAATCCAAAAATGCAAAGGTCCATTTTTTCTGAGATGGTCTAAAAGTAACCATAACTGCGTTATTAGAGTAGGTATCGACATGATTTTGGTACCAAACCCTATGTTCTCAATGTCAACCTGTCCAATGGTGATATTCTCACAAACAATAAATGGCAGCCATCTTGTATTTCAAAATGGCTGCCAGTTTGAAAGTAAAATAGCAATAACTGTGCTATTAGAGCAGGTATCATCTTGATTTTGGTAGCACACCATAGGTTTTCAATGTCAACCTGTCTAATGGTCATATTCTCACGAATCATAAATGGCGGCCATCTTGAATTTCAAAATGGCTGCCATTTTCACGGTAATAAAAAACATAACGGTGCCATTAGTGCAGGTGAACATGATTTAGGTAGCCAAACCCTGTGTTTTCAATGTCAAGCTATCGAGTGGTGATAGTACATGGGCTTATGTAGCAAAATAGGCTTGAGTTTGCAATTCATGTTAATTTATGGCAACAATGTTTTTCCGACTCAGAATTTTATACTGAACAAAAAAAACGTTGGTGCCAATTTTTTCGGCCGCCATCTTGGAAAACATGATGGCGGACGCATCTGGTCAAACATAGTATCATTAGAAAGGAAATCATGCACTGAATATTTTTTCCCATTACACTAATATGAAAAAATGCATAGAAACGCAGATATTCGGCATTAAACACATCATTGTCTGCTGCCCTCTATTGGTGAGAATTTCATTTTTAATATTTCTAGGAAGTTGGTTGGTTTTCTTGGTTCTAATACAGATATTTTGTAGAGTCTTATGTTTGTAACTAATTTGATACATTGATAAACAAATTTCATATGTATTCATGGATATTTTTTTTTTTATTAAACAATGTAAATATCCATATTATTTGTTCATTGCAGTTTCCTATCAATATATTTGTTTAAGCTGCAATATTCTGGTATTTTCCAGTCTCGGCAAAAACAAAATCGTTAAGCAGACCGCTTGATTATCAGAGTAATTGTAAATACCATATCATACCATATTTATTTGAATATATACCTAGGGACTTTCATTGTTAAGAATGGTTTTGAGGGGACGTTTATTTTTATTATTATTATTTTTTTCTTTTGGTGTGAATTTGATGCACATATACTCAAAATATATGCCCTTAAATTTCACTACAACACGTAATTACTATCATAATGAAAGGGAAAAATGTAATTCTACTGGAGTGAAAATCAATAGAATCTGTTGACAATGATGTTGCTTTGTTTACTGTCATTTGGTTGGGTGGGGAGTTGAGGCTCTAGAGGCGATGTTTATTCAGATAAATATGATAACAGATTTATCTATGGTTAAAACTTTTTACTATCCCTATGTAGAAGTTTTGAAAAATGAGAATATCTCACACCAGAAACCATCTCGTACTTGTGAATCCGGATTTTGGGGGTCACAACAAAAAAGGTGACAATTTCTTGATATTGATCATAGGTCTAAATAATAATTGTAGATTGTGGATTTACCTACAGTAATAACAGACACATTTCATTTTAATTTTTATAATTAAAGTTCTCTGCTCTATCTATTTCTGTCTAATTTTTGGAACTAAACAAAATCAAAGGATGATGAAATAACAGCCTTCATGCATCTTGGTACGACAGGCACAATTTCGCAGGAACAATATCGTTTGGCAAGCCTAGCTGAAACAACTCTCCGAATCTGAAAAAAAAAATCTGCCTACAAAAAGCGGGCACCTATTGTAATACATGGTTCCAAGTTGGAAGAGGTTATTTCCGGGAGATCTGCGGTGGTCGAAGGGGCAGGGAGGGACTTCCATTGATGGAGAGTGTGAACCACATCAGCCCCACCATGGTTGGAGCTGAAGAAAATATTGATGATTGTGACACGTTTCGATGGCTGGAAATGGCCCTCTCAGACATAAATTTGAATATAATTTTCATTTCTACCCCAATTTTTTTTATATTTAGGAGGCCCGGCCGGCTTTCCTCCTCCCTGTACTGTACTACTGATCTGGTTAAAGATTTCTTAATACATTTCTTTATATTTTGCTACACATAGTGATACCCACCGGCACTGACTGCCTTAGAAAATTGATAATAAAGCAGTGAAAACATGCAAAATTATAAATTTACGGAGATTCTTGCTTGTTTGCAGGAGTGATTTTGATTTCCTGGAGACTCTTGGCTTGAGAGTTAAAGGAAGACTTGGGACCCCTACAGTGTCAATGTTTCTGTCGGGTAACTTGCAATTGATAATACATTCTTGTTGCTTAAAACCACCTAGTATAGAGGAAACTGAGATGTGCTGGACACTAGGGTTTTTATAAAATAGTATTAGATCACTCCATTTGTATTATCAGGTCCATACTAATTTCTTCTACTATAGCTCTCAAAATTAGGCAGTCATGATTCAGCTCACTTATGTTTTTTTCTTTACTGTCAATTATGTAATATTATTTTAGCCTCGACTCAGAAGGATGATGTTGGACAGGGAATTATTTACCCACTTTTAATTTTTTATGAGAAGTGCCTATTAATATGTGAATTCATTATCTATAATCTGAAATTATTATAATTTGATGCGATTTGTTTCGAAATTCTCACAGGTAAACAAAGTGTTAACCCCAACAATTAGAGAATTTCAGAATAACCCTTAAAGCATTTCTGCTTGTTTCCGAAATGGTCCCATTGAAATATTAATAAATAACGCTAAAATGACAAAATACAAAAAAAAGGCCTTATCCATAGCTCTCAGTATCAAAAACATTTCATGTCACCTTATGTTTTTCTGCCAAATGATTTTGTTTAACCCTAAACTCAGAAGTACCAGGATGGTCTCCGGCGGGGATAGTTTCACCTATTAAAACTGGATTGTAGATAACAGGCTATATTATGATTATCACTTTTTTTATGAAAATCGCTCCCAGTCAAGCAATTTAATTTTATGTTCCTTTTGTTTTACTAAATGATATTGTTTTTGGCCCCCGGAAATTATAGTAGTCTCAGAAATACCGCTATGGTGTCTGAAGGGTAATAGTTTCATCCTGTAGTAAGAATATGTAATTATTGTATCTATATTATGTAATTGCGGCTGTTGGGTGTTGATGTGCACTTACTCTCAATCTCAATACAATAAAGGTTATACGTCAACAAAAATGATGATTTTCAATTTTTTTAATGAAAAAAATAATAAGCATGAATAAAAATGTTTTTGTTATCAGTGTATCAGTCCAGTTACAAACAAGAATCTACAAATTATCGGTATTAGAACTGAGAAATCAGGTAAATTTGTACATAGAACTACAAAAATGAAATTTTCACCAAAAGAGGGCAGCAGACAATGACATGTTTAATGGCGAATATCTCCATTAGTATTCATTTTTTTATATTAGTGTAATGGGAAAAAATATTCAGTGCATTATTTCCTTTCTAATGATACCAAATAATGATATGTTTGACTAGATGTGTCCGCCATCTTGTTTTTCAAGATGGCGGCCACTTAACCTTCTCGAAAAAATTGGCACCAACATTTTTCTTGTTCAGTATAAAATTGTGAGTTGGAAAAGCGTTGTTGCCATTAATTAACATGAATTGCGAACAAAAATACATAAGCCCCTGCACTATGATATACACATGTATCATGAATGGTGGCCATTTTGAATTTCGAAATGGCCGACAAATTTCTAACACAAACTGCTTAGTTTTTTGTGAAGTAATGTCAATTATTAATTGTAAAAACCCAAGTTTTAATTGCAAACCTATCAACAAATTAACCTGTCTAATAGTATATTCCAAGTGGAATCATACCTTTCTTGGACCATGAAGACAGAATGACAACACATGTGAAGTACCAAAGAGAAATCCAAAAGGGGATTGGTCATGATTCTGTATGTCAGTAGCCTATCGGAAAAGATCAGATCGAATGAGCACGCACAACTTTAATACATGATTCAGACATCAAAAAAAGTTGAGAGAACGAGTGCATTGGTAAAACAAGATTCCATGAGCAAACACTCACTTTGTAGAGTTATTATGTGGTCATTGCGACCAATAGTAAAAAGTTTGACCGTTTAGGTGAACATGAAATGAGGTTAAAAAATATAAATAAAGGGGTACGAACTAGAGCCAACATGGGTTCTTCTTAATGAGACATGTACAAATCAGCAATCACTGGACATATGGTCACACACAACCACATTCCAGATTGAAAATACTACAAGTTACAGGGGAACTGATGTCGACAGTAGATGAATAAGGATCTAAATGGTTCAGAAGTAAAGACAATAATATTAAGAGACGAGGGAGTACACCAATTGTCCCATGTGTAGGAACCATTTTTGTCGACCCACAACAAGACCCAGGGACTCCTGCTTACATCAGACCAGGAGAGGTTTGCCGACACAATACCACCAGTCAGCAAGCTGAGATAGATATGCAGATTTGTACACGTTAATTTGAGAATGGTAACTGAGTGACCAAAACTGCCATATGTTTGTTT